AAAATTGAGGCACTGGATGCGAAAAGGGCACTTCTCAGTTGCAGCGTTTCAGAGACTCCCCTAATATTTCATTTATTGTAAGGAAAGTGAATGCATCCATTTCACTAAAAATTTTACTGAATATTCCTTATGATTTCTACAATTTTCCATGGGATGAATTCTGGGAAAATCACCCATTAAAGTCGTCTCCAAGGGATTAATCAGCAACAGCACATCTGAAGTTGCTTTCCTGATTGCTCGTAAGTAGTGCTGCTCTGAACAGCAAAACTACATATATGAGGGATACATTTATTCTACATACTTTCAAAATCAAAAGCGTAATTGTTTCCCATAAGAATAGCTTTAAAAAGTTAGTAACCCGAATCTTCAGACTTCTATTAATATTCTTTCATCTTCAATAAATGATTGAACCTCAAAATTTGGTCACATTTTAACAGCAAAAGGGAGAAACCTCGTACTTTCATTCCAGTGCTTCAACTCTGCTCCTATTTTATTTTTTCAAAGCAGAACTAGCCAACTTCATAGTTTGAAATATATAAAGAATATTCTGCCATTAGCAAAGAAAAATCAAATTATTTTGGACGAAATTACTTAGAATAGCTTTCCAAAGAATAAATAAAGTGTAATATGAAGTCTGCAACTTCTTAAACAAAGATACGTGGTTCCGCAATTTAGCCATCGATATTCTAATTAAGAGTTTTGAACACTTGCCTTGGAGCAACACTCAAGACTCAAGCTGAAACTCTCAGTTTCCTTAATGTCATTTTGTACCTATAAGACATGTCTTTAGCTCCAAGCATGTGCCTTTTTAAAAATCTGTATTTTAGTGAGATGCCTTTAATCTGATATTCACCCGGAGAACACAGAGATACATCTAGAGTTACACTGCCCTGAATATTGGTGAAACTGGTCATGGTGGCTATATCTTTCAGTTAAATTGCTCTGAGGGAAGAGGGAAAAAAATCCAAGGGCAATTTTTTTTTCTATTACGTCCCCTAGTGCAAGTACCCATGCAGTTAAATTTATAAGTTTTATATTCCATCTCACCCTCCTTAAATTTAAGCCTTAATTAATCAGTACTAACAAACAGCCTCTGCATATGTGGGCGGTTTAGACGCATTTTCGGTTTCAACCTTTTACTTGCAAACTGAGTTCTATTCATTTATAGTTCAAGAAGGGGTTTATGAGGACAAAGGGGAATTTTCAAAGCTTTGTTGCCAATTTTTTTATTTCTTAAAGATCAAACAAAGGGTATTTTCGAGATTTTAGATAGATAGCGCAACTTTGGATCAATATTTATGAGGAAATCAAATTTTTAAGGCAATGGTGCACATTTCCTTAGTTGATAAAATAAAATGTGTACATTACAGCGTTACGTCTTTTTCTTTTCATTCTTCTTTTTTTTTGGAACATTCTCAATAATTTAGTATTACATGGTAATATTTAGCCTTCCTGTTAAGAAGATAGCCCATGAAGATGCGTCGTATGCCGATAATCTCTAAAATAACCTCATTTCATCTTTAAAAAAAAAAAAAAAAAAAAAAAAAAAAAAAAAAAAAAAAAAAAAAAAAAATTGCCAACACACCATTTCACTTTAACTTCAAGCAGACCCATCTTGTACTGTAAAATATTTATCAATCTGCAGGTGAAAAGTTAAACAGCCCTGAATGTATTTTTTTCCAGCACTGCGTTCAAATTTGTCTTCAATTAATCATTAAAAGAACTTGGAAAATTTACAATATTGCTTTGGAAAGTCAATGTTGGCCTGGAGTAACGATTTTGTACTATCTCATGATAGCATTCAGCCTACACGTTAATGAACAAGTGTGTTTAATTAAAATTCACCAGGATATGAACTGAGAATTTCAGTATTTTATAAAATAACAAAATAAGAATTTGGTAATTCTGTACAGCCTAAGGAATGTGCTGCCTTTGGAAGCAGGATGAACCTTTGCCTACGGAAATTTGCTATAATTTACCATAAACTTTCATTTCATAGCCATATCTCATTGACCTACCTACTCGAGTATCCAAAAAAAGGAGAAAACTTGCCGAGGCTCTTAGACTCAAGTTGGAGGCTCAAATTAGACCAACTGAGATTTAATGCAGTCATTATTGAAAAAGTGCTCACAGAATTTTTTGATGGATTATACTTACATAAATAAATCCTGTAGTTTTGGCGAAAGCCGCGTACGTTGTGATGTATTCATCTGCCGTTTGGTTGTTCCTCCGAAACTCTCGGAGCCTAGCTTTATTGCTTGTGACAACACACTTCACTATCTCATCGTGGGGTTCAGCATTATTTTTTAGGTATTCTATAGCAATCAATACTTCTGGCGATTCTGGCCCGTCATCTATTAGAAAAAAAAAATAGAAAAAATTTGAAAACACATTCAGAGTAGGTAGCTAAAAATATTCAGCCTTAAAAAACCAGTTCTTTTCTTGATAACTTTCAGTGCCAGCAACGGCGTCAGTCTGTCTTCCGTACCTCTTTCCCATCCCTCAGAAGAGGTTTTTACATTAAAAATTGTAACCAAATTTGAAGATACTTCGATGGTTTTCCATGACTATAATTTTAGGAAAAATGACATAGGATGAAAGGCGTGGAATCACTTTATGCCAATGCTCAGCTCAGGCTGAGCCCTGAATTTATAAGTCTATAGTACCATGCGCATGTCTGGAAGTGCGTACCTCCAACTGCCATGTTGTAAATTTATGCGCAAATTTATTTTTTAAAAATGTGAACTGAAATTTTGTGAATGATCTTCACTCATTCAAACTTATTCGCAGAAAATACTGAGGAGATATTTTAGCTGGTTTTCTCTTAAAAAAATTGAGGGCAGATGGAAATTTTTAAACATTGCAATGCAGATACCCATTTTTCGACTTCAGCCCTTGAATGCACTACAGATGGGCGGCAAACTGATAATTTTCAAGAATGGACAAAATTCGAAAATTGAAAACAAAGCAAGGATCTGGGACAAAATTATCAAGGATTTAAGAACTAAAGTCACTTTTCTGGAGAAGAAAAAAGGAATATAGATGAAAAGAAAATTTTTAGAGACGTACCAACTTCTTCTTCAGAATCAACTCGGACTCTTTTCCGTCCAATGATCAGCCCAGATTTTTTGAATTTTTTTTTCATGTAGTTATACTTATCAAACAGCATACCTCTGGCAGCAATTTTGTTTCCCTTACTATCTTTTTTGAAGGGAATATAGAAAGTAGTTTCCCTTTCTGTAGGGAAACATTGGCAAATGGCTGCGGACAGATCCATAAACCGCTCTGTTGATATTGATTTGGATGGATCTTCTTCTAGCTCATCGGATATGACGATATCCACTAAAGATTTTCTCGCTTCTCTGTCTAGGCATTTATCGTTCTTAAATTTAGATAAAATAAATCTGCCATCTCTGCTGCCTTTAAGTTGCTCTTCTATCCACAATCCAGTCAATTTGCTTTGATGATTGCCATATATAACAAGCCTGGGATCAGAGATTTTGGGCTGCTCGGTGAAAGTAGAAGTTTCAGGTGTTGGATTAGTCGGATTTGAGGAGGGGTGGACTTCAGAATTAGAGTTATTCAAGATTGAATCGGAACGGAGAGTATTCGTGGAGTCATCAGTGGGAGAAGCATTGTTAACAATAGGTGTTGAGGTCGCAACAGGATTCGGAGGTGGACCATTAGTGATTGGAGTAGCAGGCTCTTTAGGAATTTCAGAGGATTGATTTGCAATACTAGCATCAAGTCGAGTATCGTCAACCAAGTGAGGAACATTGGTCTTGGATGGAGTACACTGAGTAAGGTGGGGTGTACTGGAGGATGAATTGGGAGCCTTTAAATCAAGAGTGCTCACTTGTGAATTTGCAGTAGGATGATTGAATAATGTTACATCAGCTGAAGAATTTCCATTTTCCTTAACTTCGGAATATTCCTTTTGAGACGTTAATTCAACATTTGGGCGCAGAATTTTCGCTAAATTGTCATCGAGCTCATCAATATTGACTGTAGGTTGCGATTTACAGAAACCAGTCGAAAAAGAACCGTTACTTGAACCTCTTCTTGCACATTTAACTTTCTCTGATGATGATATTGTAAATTGCCTTGGTGCCAACATTTTAGATCTTTTACCAAGCTGCAAACGAAAAAAAATACAGCGGTTGGTAATTGTTGAAATGACTAATACAGAACGCAACTTTTGTTAACCTCACTTTCAATACTCAGGAAGGTAGAGTTCACGCCAAATAAGTTTACGCACTTTTAGACTGTGACAGAAGATCGTCTGACATCAATTTTTACTTGTTAAGAGATTGGAAGAAGCCAGTTGGCCGATATTTTGCCCCAGTTTAAAAGGTCGTAAACTTAGTTGGCGTGGACTCTAGGTGGGTGATAACTCTACAGTTAATTTATAAAAGGAGCTCAGCCCCTTATCAGTGGGCTACTTATTGAAATTTTGTGTTTGTCTGGCGGACATAGGTTAAACAGCAGATCATGATTGGTCGGCTAGCTTTGTCGTAGGTGCAATGGACGACTTACCGTCAGGAACTAAAGAGGTACCTTTAGCTTGTCGTGAATTCCACCTCACAAAGGCACGAAAAAGCAGCAAAAAGACATTGCCAATCAATCATGATCTGCTGTTTAACCTATGTCCGCCCGACAAACACAAAATTTCAATAATCGGCCCACTGCGCCCAAATCTTGATGGCCAATTTACATGCGACTGAAAGTTACTTATGGCCAGAATGTTGACTAAGTTATTTAATCCCTCACAGATGGTTTACACCATTGAGAAACTAATGAAAGCTCTAGCCTGCCATAAGAAAAGCTCGCAACTTGAGTACATATAGCTGGTTGTTAGTGTTATTATTTTTGGTCATACCGGGGGAGTGAGGGACAGAGAGTCTGATTACATGAGCTTTTAAGTACTTACAGGAACGTTACAGGTGAGTCGTCTGTTATTAAACCTTCTCATCTTGAAAATCTTGATCTTGATCTTTGTGGGAACTTGAACTTGGGAAGTTGCCGTGTAAGAGAGAGCCGTTAGCCGTTGCTTAATGCATTAATGCGCCAAATTGTTACGCACTGTTACCCGGTGGAAATTCCAAAAATCAACACAACTTTTCGAAAATTTCAGCACGAAAACACAAAAAAAATCACCACTACATCCGAGAAATTGAATTTTACCATCAGAGCATTACTATTAGATCTAATTTTCGGGGTTTGACGGTTAAAGCATTAACTTCTCAAAAAAATAACGACTAAGTAAAGTATCAACGATTTTTTCTTCTTTCACCACTGCACAGCCTGAATGCAGAGAGCAGCAAAAGCGCTAAATTTAAATTATTAATCTCTGACGAAAGGGTGATGCGTGATGATGATGTAAAAAAAGTAAAGAAAATCCCTGCAATCTGAGAAAAATGAATAATATTTAATCCACCTTTAGGGCCCAGAAAATTCAGGCTGTGGCTGAGATACAAAATGAAATTTTACATATACAAAATCCGTCTTGTCGAATTCACTTTCCGCATGGTATTCCATCGGATCTTCAAGGGCAATATGTTACAACCCGCAACAATTATCCTATAGAATTCAAAATAAAAAATGTAGAAATTAAACCCGTGATATAATTTTTTTTTTCTCTCTCAAAATTTCAAAATTATTATTCCTGCTTCTACAGGGTGATCCAAAAGTCCCTTCCTCCCCCTGTTACTTTTTACCTCATTGAGGTAAAGATTTGAAACTTGGGGGATATTCCTTCATAGGTAAAAAAGATATTGTAACAGTTTTGTCTCTGCAGTTAGATATGCGGCTAGGGCGCGGTAACCTGGACCTGTTAGGGAGTACATGCGCCTGGCGGATAGGCAGCGTGTTTTGCGCAGAGGCGAACTCTCCCATACCCCCCTCTCCCATGGGAGAGTTCGCCTACCCATCCGCCACGCTGCCTACCCATCAGGCGCATGCACCCCCACATTTATGTTTGTTCTTTCATAATTTTTTTGTTCATTTCTTATAAATGGAAGGCC